AGAGAGAGAGAAAGACAGAGACAGAGAGAGAGAGAGAGAGAACACACACACACACACACACAGAGAGAGAGAGACAGAGACAGAGAGAGGGAAAAAAAGCACCTTGCAGCTCCTACTACATCTATACAGCAGTCTCCTTCCTTGCAGCTCCTACTACATGTATACAGCAGTCTCCTTCCTTGCAGCTCCTACTACATGTATACAGCAGTCTCCTTCCTACCTTGTATTTCGGGAAGATGGGAAAAAAAAAAACCAAAACACAGAGATTATTATTATTATTATTATTATTATTTAAAATAACACCGGGAAGATGGGAAGCCGGGTGGAAGAGCGAGGTTCCTCTCTTGGAAGAGGACAAAAAAAAAAAAAAAAAAAGTGGCCTTAACGAAAGGGGGGGGGGAGAGAAGAAGAAGAAAAAAAAAAAAAGGAGAAAAGCGAGGAGAGCCGTTCCACGAATGCCAAGGCGCAGCTCCTCTCCCCTCTTTTTTTTTTTTTTTTTTGGAGAGGCTAGGAGCGCGCGCGCGGGGACGCGCCTGTCCGTGCGGGCGTGTGTGTGTGTGTATGTGTGTGCTCTCGTGTGTGCTTGCCTCGCCGTCGCCCCCACCCTCGGCTGTCTCTTTCTCTCTTTCTCTGCCTCCCTCCCTCCCTCTCTCTTTTTTTTTAAAACCTCTGCGCTCAGTCATGAGTTGCCTGTTGATTTCCTCTTGAGTGGCAAGACAAGGCGCGGGGAGGCGAGCGGGGCTGAAAATTCAACCGCAGCGAGCGCAGGAGCGCAAAGCCCTGGCAGCCACGCGCCGAGGCAGCCAAGAGAGGCGAGGGCGAACGGCAGGAACCCGAAGAAGGGAGCCGAGCGGGCGATGTGGTGGCGGCTGCGGTGGTGGCGGCGGCGGCGGCGCCAGCAGCCCCAGCAAAAGCAGCAGCAGCAGCAGCAGCGGCGGCGGAGAAGAAGGCTGCCGGTCTTCCTAGCGGAGCCTCCACGGCCGCTTCGGAGCGGGCTGCCGTTTTAAAAAAAAAAAAATCGCCCTCGCCCACCCACCGACCCACCCTCCTTTTCCCCGCCGCCCTTCCGCCCAGCGATCCGCTGCAAAGCCGGAGGAGCCTCGGCTCCGGAGGGCGCTTCCTTGCTTCTCCAGCCAACCCGCCCAACTCTACCTCTTAGAATTTCATTCTCTTGTTTTTTTCTTTTTTTTCTTTCTCTCTCTCTCTTTCCAACCGGGGAAAAAAAAAGAAGAAGAAGAGACAGAAGAAAGAGACAGAGAGCGAGCTTTTCGGAACTACAAATCTGGAGGGACTTGGACCCTATATATATATATTTACCTATTTTTATTTTTAATTGTTTTGCCTTGGGGGGGGGGACCGGCCCTTCCTGGTTGCCTCCGCGGAGCCTGGGAACCGGTGGCGGCGGCGGCGGAGGAGGCGAAACGCGTCCGGCGGAGCCACGGGGGGGGGACCCGGCGAGAGGAACAGGGGGCGAGCTCCGTAGTGGAGCAGGAGCGAGGCTGCGGCTGACCGCAGCAGCCAAACGGGCGCGATTAGATCTCCCAAAGGCAGCCAGCGGGGCGGCGAAAACACCACCGGCTCGCACCCGAGACGCTGCGGAGCCGCGAAAAAACGTCTCCCATCTCCTTCTCCCACCGAAGCAAGATTTGGCCCAGCGGTTCTGCGCTTGCCATCCGCCTCCTTTCTGAGGTCTTTTCCCGGCTCCCGTTTCCGAGCCGCTTCGGATCAAGGAACCCCTGGTTGTTGTTTTTTTTTTTTTTTTTTTTTTCTGTGTGTGTGTGTTTTTTTTTCAAGGACCCCCCCCCATTCCCAAGGAGAGAGAGAGAAAAAAACAAACTCCGTTTTCTGCTTCCCAGCCTCTTTCTTCTTGTTGTTGTTCTTTTACGCTTCTCGTGAGGATCTTTGGCATCGTGGAAAGGGTTTGATTTTTTTTCATTTTTTTTTTTCATTTTTTTTTTTTTTAAAGAAACCGCTTCCTGCCTTGGGAAAACGGGTTAATCTTCCTCTCCTTTCGGTCGCCTCCAGGAAGGGGAAGGGGGAGGGGGAGTTGATTTTTTTGCTCCTCATCCCTCCTCCGCCTGGCTGAAGTTGGACGGAGCAAGGGGAAACTGCAGCACGGAGGAGGAGGAGAACCAGGAAACAAAAAACAAGAAAGACCCCCCCCCCTTTGCCTGCTGGCTGATTGCAGCCTCCACCGCCCTTTGCCGTGGCTTGGTCCACAGCGGTGCCTGCGCCGAGTCGATCGTGCCGAGCAACAGGTTCGGGAACTTGAAGGGGGAGAGCGAGTGGAGGAGGAGAAGGAGGAGGACGATCGCCTGGAAAGCAGAGACGCCAACGCGGCGGCGGCGTTGGCGGAGAAGCTTGCCCGGTCCTCGCCGTCCGCTGGGATGTCCCTCCCCGCCTGGTGGTGGTGTTTCCCTCTCCTGGGCTGGGCTCCAGCCTCGGCTTTAAGGAACCTGAACTACTCGGTGCCGGAGGAGCAAGGCGCCGGCACGGTGATCGGTAACATCGGCCGCGATGCCCGGCTGCAGTCCGGGTCGAGCGGCGGCTCCTCGTCGCCTTCGCTGGAGCGTCCCCGCGGCTCCAAGGCCACTTTCCGCGTGCTGGAGAACTCGGCGCCCCACCTGCTCGACGTGGACGGCGAGAGCGGCTTGCTGTACACCAAGCAGCGGCTGGACCGCGAGGCGCTCTGCCGCCGCAGCGCCAAGTGCCAGCTCTCGCTCGAGGTCTTCGCCAACGACCAGGAGATCTGCATGATCAAAGTGGAGATCCAGGATCTGAACGACAACGCGCCGGCTTTCCCGTCCGACCAAGTCGATCTGGACATCTCCGAGAACGCGGCGCCGGGCACCCGCTTCCCGCTAGCCAGCGCGCACGACCCGGACGCGGCCGACAACGGCCTGCGCACTTACCTGCTCACCCGGGACGACTACGGCCTCTTCGCCCTGGACGTGAAAGCCCGAGGCGACGGCACCAAGTTCCCAGAGCTGGTGGTGCAGAAGCCGCTGGACCGCGAGGAGCAGAGCCACCACACCTTGGTGCTGACGGCCCTGGACGGCGGCGACCCGCCCCGCTCCGGCACTGTCCAGCTCAACGTGCGCTTGATTGACTCCAACGACAACAGCCCGGTGTTTGAGGCGGCCTCCTACGTGGTGGAGCTGTCTGAGAATGTCCCCTTGGGCACCGTCCTCCTGGACCTCAACGCCACGGATGCGGATGAGGGCACCAACGGCCAGGTGCTCTATTCCTTCAGTGGCTACACCCCGGACCGGGTGCGGGAGCTCTTCAGCATCGACCCCCAGACGGGCTTGATCCGGGTCAAGGGCAACCTGGACTACGAGGAGGGCAATTTGGTGGAGATCGATGTCCAGGCCCGGGACTTGGGTCCCAATCCCATTCCGGCCCATTGCAAGGTGACCGTGCACCTGTTGGACCGCAATGACAATGCCCCCACCATTGGCTTCGTCTCCGTGCGCCAGGGGGCGCTGAGCGAGGCCGCCCCGCCGGGCACCGTCATTGCCCTGGTGAGGGTCACCGACCGGGACTCTGGGAAGAATGGGCAGTTGCAGTGCCGGGTGCAAGGCAGCGATGGCAGCGGAGGAGATGGGGCAGTGCCCTTTACTCTAGAGGAGAACTATGACAACCTGTATACGGTGGTGACGGACAGGCCTTTGGACCGGGAGGTGCAGGATGAATACAATGTCACCATCTTGGCTCGGGATGGGGGCAGCCCGCCTCTCAACTCCACCAAGTCTTTCTCAGTCAGGATCCTAGACGAGAACGACAATCCGCCCCGCTTTAGTAAGAGCCTTTATGTGCTGCAAGTGCCTGAGAACAACATCCCAGGAGAGTATCTGGGATCTGTCTTGGCCAAAGATCCCGATCTGGGCCAAAACGGCACCGTCTCCTACTCCATTCTGCCAGGACACGTGGGGGATGTCTCTATTTACACCTATGTCTCAGTCAACCCAACCAATGGGGCCATTTACGCTTTGCGCAGCTTCAATTACGAGCAGACCAAACATTTTGAGTTCCACGTGTTGGCCAAAGACTCAGGCTCTCCCCACAGGGAGAGCAATGCCACTGTCCGTGTCACTGTTCTGGATGTCAACGACAATGCCCCCCTGATTGTCTTGCCAGCCCTGATCAATGACACTGCCGAACTCCAGGTTCCCCGTAATGCTGGCGTGGGCTACCCTGTGGGCACTGTCCGAGCCATGGATAATGATTTTGGGGAAAGTGGACGCCTGACCTATGAGATTGTGGAAGGCAACGAGGACCATCTCTTTGAGATGGACCCTATAAGTGGGGAGATCCGCACCCTTCACCCTTACTGGGAAGAGCTGAGTCCTGTGGCCGAGCTGGTGGTGAAAGTTAGTGACCACGGGAAGCCCAGTCTTTCAGCAGTAGCCAAGCTGATTGTCCGGGCTTTGGCTGGACCTCTGCCTGAAGCCGGGGAGCCCCAGGTCAATGGGGAGCAGCACCGTCGGCCTCACTGGGACCTCTCGCTGCCCTTGATTGTCACCCTCAGCACAGTTTCCATCATCCTCCTGGCTGCCATGATCACCATCGCTGTGAAGTGTAAACGTGAGAACAAGGACATCCGCACCTACAACTGCCGTATTGCTGAGTACAGCCACCCCCAGTTGGGTGGAGGGGGCGGGGGCGGGGGCGGGGGTGGGGGCAGCGGAGGGGGAAAGGGCAAGAAGAAGAAGATTAGCAAGAATGACATCATGCTGGTGCCCAGCGAAGGGGAGGACAGCCGGGGACCCCTCAACGTCATGAATGTGGTCAGCAGCCCATCCTTGGCCACCTCGCCCATGTATTTTGACTACCAGACTCGCCTGCCCCTTAGCTCGCCCAGGTCCGAGGTGATGTTCCTGAAACCTGCTTCCAACAGCTTGAGCGTGCCCCAAGGCCACGTGGGATGCCACACCAGCTTCACAGGGCAAGGGACTAACGTCAGTGAGGTTCCCCCAAGCCGGATGTCCATAATACAGGTAGGAGACTTTGAGTGATAACCTGGAGCTTCTCCTCACTGTGCCTTTATTGTATCTGCAGTGACACCTGACCAGAAGCAGCCCTTCCAGGTGTCGACAGATAAGACTAGGTTCCGAGGTCCTAGCTAAGATCTAGGCCATGATACCTCTTGGTAGTCTTTTCGTAGCAAGGTCAAAAATGTTTGCTAGAAAACAGAGCAGCAGGCAGCTTAGCGTTGCAACACTCGGAAACTGGGACAGGTCTCTCAGATCTAGTCCGTCAGATCTAGTCGATCCAGTCTTTTGCCTTTGTGGTTTGAACATTGATCAGCCTGGGTGGCTTGTTCTTACAGGTTTCTCTGTTTTGTGCCTTGAGGAAAGCAGAAAGACCATCGCTTGTTCCAAAGTGGAGGTGGTACACACTAGCTATGGCACAAAACATGGTTTATAACATTTGGAAGTGCTGCATAAGTAGCTCCTTTTGTTGTCCGTGTGCTGAAGTTTTGTTTGCAAAAACCGGTATATTTTGGTATTTCCACCCAGTTCAATCATATGCATAAATCATACAGTAAGTAGTTTTTTCCCCACCCTCTCTTTAGTACATAAAATTGATATATCTCCTGGGACAACAGATCTTTGTTTTTATTATAGGCAATGCAACCCCTCGCCCCCCCCCAAAAAAGCTGTATTTGATTTCCTTGGCGTGGTAGAAGTAGGCTCCATCCCAAAATTAAAACCCTGGATTTCTGCAGAAAAGGCTTAAAGCATAAGCACATATTAGCAAAAGACTATCAAGACTTAGCTGTTCAACTTATACATGCATGGGCTGTTCTCACTTGCTTGCAAACCTCAGCCTAAGTGGTGGGTGACATGCATGAGTAAAATAGCTTAAGCGCAGCCGGAACCCCTCAGAAGCAATTTTAATATCAGCTGTTGTTATCTCAGATGCAGTGCTTTTTCACTGGAGCCTCTCCAATCCTGCAACTGCCAGTGATCAGGTTCTCTAGTCTTCAAGGGGAACAGAATCCAGTGAGGCAAAAAAATAAAAAAAAAAGTCTAAACTACCACTTAAATGGTTTGTTTGCTTATTCTGCAGTCATGCTGAAAAATTCCGTGCTTTACTTGCAATCCAATGCTTGAAGGCTGTACATGATTTAGCCCAGCCAAGCATTTGAAAATCAGAGAGAGGGGGGGGGGGGGCACACACCTAACCTTTGACTAGAAATGGAAGTGAGTCGAAATAGACCAAGCTATACAGATTACTCGTAAAGCAAGGTGAAAATGTTGCAGGCAAAGAAATACATCCTTTTTTTTCCCCTAACAGAGAGAAAGAGCAAAGTATAAAATTCCCTTGAACTAAAAAAGAAAGGGGGGGGATATTACACACACACACACACACACACACACACACACACACACACGAGGCCTTAAGTATTTCAGAGCTGTGCTTCGGATTTTTTAGGGCTGTTGGAAAGAAACGGGTTTTTAGAAGGCAGCTTCCCAAGATGCCAGAAAAAAATAAAATAAAATAAATGGAGCAGGATTTTAAATGGAATGAGTTTGAATTTGCTACTTTATTCTGTTCAGGATAAAAAGTGCTCCCAATCCAGACTGGGATCAGAAGGGATTCCCCCATTTTGGATCCTACCCATTTACAAACTGGATCCAAGCCCTGTAACGTAGGGTGTAGTGCACGTCACGTAACGCTCTTGATCTATGCGTGCGATTGTCTTTTCTTTGTATGTAGCAGGCAAGCTAGGATGGTGTTCCTATCAAAATACTGTGTAGGGCGACCTCTAAGATAATAGCTGTGGAAGACACACGGTTTTGTCCGGCACGCTTCTAATATTCTCTACTAAATCACAGGGGAGAGAATGGAGTGTATCAAAAATGACACAGACTGATTTCCTGTTTCCAAACTTAACGAGAGAAAAGGGGCTATCTTGTTCCTAATGCATTTGAAGAGGAGTTGATGAAGACTGGGGTCTTGCCATCAGCAGAACTCCTGGCACACTAAAAGAGGCTCTGTTTTCTATGATTACTGCTTTCCTTTTATTTTTTTCCTTCTGGTTTTTATGCGTACTAAGGAGCTAACCCCATTGGCAATAGCAAAGAGAGTTATTATTATTGTTATTAGTTTTGGAGTAAACATGCGTGGGTTGAGTTTGGAAACATCTCTTCTGAAGCCTTCAGTTCCATATTAAGGAACTGCCTTCTGCCTTGCTCTTGTGTAACTCAACAGGCAGCAGGAGGGTGTCCTTCTCCAGGGGGATCCCTCAAGGTTTGAAGGCCATGGCCTTGATCTCATGAGTCTTGAGCTTGGAGAACCAGACAGTCAAAAAGCCAAATTGTTCATACCTGTGGGAAGCAGAAAGCTGTAGCACTAGAAGACTATGTTCTTTTGAAGGCAAACTTTCCTTAGGACAGTGGTTCTCAATCTTTTTAATGCCGCAGCCCCCAACCGGTCGTAAGTCGAGGACTACTCAACTGGTGCAGCACCCTTTGCAGAATGGGACTTTTGGCAGGCTCAGCAGGGCAGAGACAGCCTGGACAATTCCTATTGGCTTTTGAAAGCCAATAGAATTAGACTCTTTTCAAGAGACTCTATTCTATTGGCTTTCAAAAGCCAATAGAATAAAAGGGAGTAGCACAGCTAAGGAAAAGGGGGGAAAAATGGCGGACTGCGTTGTTTGGCGACCCCCGTGAAATGGTCGTTCGACCCCAAATGGGGTCCCGACCCACAGGTTGAGAACCACTGCCTTAGGATGTCTTCCTTCAGTGGAAGTGCTTTCTTTATTTATTTTTTTTTTTTAATTTCTCCCAATCTTGCAACACGTTTGGGCTGTTGATCCCACCTACTTTGATTTTTTACTCCTTCAGGTGTTTCGCTACCATATCCTTGTCCAATAAAGGACATTTTAACTGCTTCCTTTTTTACATGGAACCCCTGGTAGGTTTGCCACCAGCCCTGGAGGAGCATTAATATCACAGCCTTAGGTATAGTGGAGAACTCGATCCCACTGCTGCCTTTTAAGTAGACATTACTGGCTTTTGTACAGAAATTCAGGAGAGATCTTTCTTTTTTGGCTCAGAGGAAAAAAAAAATATCTTGGCCATCTTTTTTTAGACAGACAGGAGATTTATAGGGAAAGCTGAAGACCAGACATTTCCATCACAGAAGCCAAAAGAATTATGCTTTCTAATCGCTGTCTACTGCTATGCAAGATCCCTGTAAATAAATAAATAATATATTTGTTTTGGTATATATATGTGTGTGTGTGTGTACACACACAAACATACACACACACACACACACACACACACACACACACACACATATTTCAACCCTCTATTGAGTTTCATTACCGAAACTATTTTGTGTTATGTTTATCATGACTGGATGTTGCCATCAATTAAAAGAACTGAGCAATGCTCCACATCTAAATTGATTTTAAGAAAAAGTGACAGTTGGAGGAAGAACATTAAGCTAGGACCGAGCTGAAGGTAATTTGATTTATAGCTCATGCATTTAAAATGGGTACTTCCCCCCCCTCCCCGGTGTCATTTGTTTAAATCATGTCTTTGTTAAAGAGGTAAAATGAAGAAGTCGGAATGTCAAACCTGCACTCTGCAAACTTCCCAGGGGAAAAAAACAACAACAAAATAAAACCTCTTTGATCCGGTGTAATAATTACTGATAGAGATTGAATTTTGTTTTGCTAAAGCACTGTAATCCAATGTATGGATAAATATTGAATCATTAAAAGATTTTTATTGTAGTGTAAAGTCCCAGTTGGTAAGGTTTTTTTTTAATAAAAAACAGCATATATATATATTTATATATATATATATATACACACACACTGTATTCTGCTTTTTTTGTTGTTGTTTTTGTCCTGAAAATTTATACAAATCAAAAGAGAAATTTCTTTCTTGAAAAAGGCACTCTGTAGTTTTTTTGTTAAGTCCTTAAGATGATCGCCAGGGCTGAGAAACGAATGTAATTTATCTAATTTCATTTATGAGACATACACAATTTGTAACAATATTGTGACGAAGGTGATTAAAAAGGAAGAGAATTCACTAAAGAGATTAGAAGGCTTGAATCCTAGTTTTATTTTGTTTGTGGGTTATTGTGTGTGTGTGTGTGTGTGAACAAATCTTTGGAGGATCTATTCCTAAACTTGCAGTTCCAGCCACTTTGGTAGATGGCCTTCACTTCCAGAGACAACGACCGTTTTATCTTAGTATTTTTAAGGAGAAGGGATGGAGGAAATTATAACTTTTTCTCTGTTCCTCTAGGTTTTGGTAGGGGAATATTCGGCTGAAAAATTAATCTCTTGTCCAGCTTTTCGTGCCACAGTTCTTAACTTCTAGTCCAGCTAGACCTCAACTTACAATCCTTCATTTAGTGAACATTTAGAGTTAATAATGGCACTAAAAAAAAGTGACATAACTGTTTTCCACAAAAGCCTTCTGGTTATGTGATTCAACATCTGGACGTTTGGCAACTGACTCCGACTTATGACGGGCGCGGTGTGCTGGGGGGGGTCACGTGATTCCCTTTTTCGTGACCTGATGAGCAAAGTGAGTGGGGAAGACAGATCCGCTTAACGACTGCGTGACTAACGTAACCACTGCCACGGTTCGCTTAAGGACTGTCACAAGAAAGGTCATAAAAATGGGGCAGAAGTCACTTCACAAAGGTTTCACTTGACTTAACTCTGGTCGTAAGTTAAGGACTAACTTAACTCTGTGCCCAGAGTGTGACTCTTGAACGGAATAATAGTAATAATGATGATGACGATGATGATGGAAGGGACCTAGTCATCTAGTCCAACCCCCTGCTCAGGCAGGAAACCCTGTACCATTTCAGACAAATGGCTGTCTAGTCTCTTCTTAAAAACTTCCAGTGTTGGAGCATTCACTGTTTCTGGAGGCAGGTTGTTAATAATAATAATAAAGTTGGAAGGAAGGTCATCTGGTCCAATCCACTGCTCAGGCAGGAAACCCTATACCAT